CTGGAGCCCAGGAAAAGGGGAGACCTGGAGCCAGGGAAAAGCGGGGACTGGAGCCTGGGAAAGGGGGCGCCTGGAACCCGGGAAAAGGGAGGATCTGGAGCACGGGAAAAAAGGGGATCTGGAGCCCAGGACAGGAGGGTCTGGAGCACAGGGAAAGGGAAATCTGGAGCCTGGAAAAAGGGGGCACCTGAAGCCAGAGAAAAGTGGGGCCCTGCAGCCCGAGAAAGGCTCCCCAGGCACTCGACTCACGTATTCCCGRATGTTTTTCGCCTTGACTGCCTTGTAGGACGCGTAGGCCGGGTAGAGCATCCCGAAGAGCAGCCTGTAGGGCAGAGATGGGGTGAGACAGCCCGGCCATGCCGCGTACACCAACAGGAACAGCGACCAGCACAACTGCCGGCCCCAACGCCGGAGCTTGGCCTGGAGCCCCTCCAGCACCATCCCGAGCCCGGAGGGGACGGGAAAAGGGTCCGGGAACCCGCGGGRAGGATCAGCCATGAGCGCGGTGTCACGGCCACGGGACCGGCCAGACCTGTCGGGGCGTGGCGGGACAAGGGCTCGGTCCCCGCAGGCTCCGTGCCGAGGATTTGGGTGAGGTGCCACCCCCAAACATCCAGCTCGTGTCGGGGTGAGCCTCTTTGAGCAGGGATCACCACCCCGGGAAATGTGGGGACCCTCGGGGTAGGGACCCCTGGGATGGTGTTCCAGGGTGATACAAGGGACCCCCACCCATGGGTGATGCAGGGGGTCCCAGGCTGTGTTCACCCCCCCACGGCAGCATTCAGGGGCACATTTTTGGGGGGTGCTGTGTTTGGGAGAGGTTGGTTGCCCCTATAAAGAGATTTGGGGTCCCCTCCCCAAACTCCCCCTGAGGCCGCTCCGCTGAGTCCCCGCTGCGGGCCCGGCRYGRTGACCCCAATTAATGGAATAGGASGAGAGGGGAYAGAGGATCGGGGATCTTTGCGACCYCCCYGAGGGTACCCCCACCCTGCAGCCCCTCCCCGTTCCACCGCCCGCACCCCACTCACTCTATCACCCTGCAGAGGATCCACGACACCATGGCGCGGGCGGGGCTGTGCCGGGCARGGGGGATGGGTGCTGTGCCCTCCCRGAGCCCCCAAATCCCCCCTAAATCGCCCCAAAATCCCCCCCGAACCCCAAAAGAGCGATTCCAAAAAGTTGAAACTCGCAGCCACCAGCCGCGCATGCGCAGTGCGGGCCCCGCGGGATGTTCTTAAAAGGGCAACGCTTAAAAGGGCGACACGGCCACTTAAAAGGGCAATGCCCTTAAAAAGGCAACGGCGTCTAATAAAAGGGCAATTTATTTTATAAAAACTTTTTTTWTATATAATATTTTTATATTTAAAAATTCCCTAAATATCTTAAATATCAATATAGGATATGTTAAACATACATTAAAGAAAATATTTAAAACGTCCCTAAACTATTAAAGATTACCATATTAATATATGATACCTTAATATRGAATTTCTATTAAATATTCCTTAATGCATACAAATTATTTCCCTAATATATATCTTCATATATTAAAAGATACAATTTTTAAAGCAGTGAGCAGGTGGGGAGGGAGGGGAGAGCCCCCTTGACTGACGCTGAAGAATTTTATTTTTTTTGGGTCTGGAGTGGATGTGATGCTTTTTTTGGTGCTGTCATGGACCATGTGGAGAATCCCACTGAAATATGTGGAGATCTTAAAGATGCTCACGAGGAAATAAAAGCTGCTGGAATCGCCTCTCTGGGCCACCTTCCCCTCTGTCCTGCAGCCCCAGGACTGATCCAGGGTTCCCCGACTTCCCCATCCCAATCACGGCCGCTGTGTAAGTGCCGTAATTCTCCCGCAGTATTCCCTGCGCCTTAAAATCTGCCTTTTCCTGGCGGGGAAACTGAGGCAGGGACACGTGACCGTGCCCTGGGAGCAGCCAGCCATGTCAAATCCTCCTCCCCAAACCCATCCGTGCCCGCGGGATGCCGGTTACCTGCGGGAGGATCTTTATTTGTGCGCTTAATTAGCGGTTTTTCACATGCAAATATTTATACAGCCGGCAGACAGGGAAACGCTCCGCTGGAAAACCAGTCCAGCAGCGGGGACTCCMCTCCCTGGGGAAACACCTCCTGCTTCCCACCCGCACCGTGGGCTGGAGAAAAACACCCGGCGAGCCACGTGCGGGGCCTGGAGCGCCCAAAAATGAGGAATTCCCGCTCGCTGGTGTCGGATGGAGCGAGTGCCCCATGGCTGGAAGGACACACGGGCAGGGCTGGGGGTCACAGTGTGTTTATTGGGGGGTTTTGTGGGCGCGGACACCCCGCTGGTGCGCTGGGTCCTGTCTGGCAGCGGGGCCATGGGCACGGGGTGATGCTGGATGTGCACGGAGAGGGACAGGAGCTGCTGCCCCGGAGCATTTCTCTGGCTTCGAACATCCTGCTGTCCTCAGGGCATCGCATCTGCATCCGCCTTGGAGCATCCTGGAGCATCCTATCATGCTCAGGGCATCGCATCTGCATCCGCCTTGGAGCATCCTGGAGCATCCCATCATTCTCAGGGTATCCCATCTGCATCCGCCTTGGAGCATCCTGGAGCATCCCATCATTCTCAGGGTATCCCATTTGCATCCGCCTTGGAGCATCCTGGTGGTCTTAGGAATCCCATTGTCCTCGGGGCATCCCGTTAGCCTCCACTTTGGAGCATCCCATCATCCTCAGCCCATCCCATCCCATCCCATCCCATCCCATCCCATCCCATCCCATCCCATCCCATCCCATCCCATCCTCCTGGGATTCCTCCCGTGTCCCGGCAATCCCCCGCCCTTCCTGCCCTTCCTGCCCGCTGTCCTCCCCCTCTCTGCCACCAGATCCCAGCCCATGGCCCGAGAAGGCAAAATCCCCTCTCCGCTCACCCTCTCCACCCTACCAAGGGTGCAGATCTACAGCGGGAGGAGACGTCCCACCCTCCCTCCCCCGCATCCCACAGCGTGAAACGGGGAGCACCGTGGGGAAACTGAGGCACGGTGGGGCTGGGTGAGGGTGGAGGGCCGGGGGGGAGGGCAGATAGGGAGTGGCGGTCGCATGCGTGTCCGGTGGCTCTCCGGGGCTCTCCATGCACCGGCTACAGGCTGAGATCCACCACCACGTGCCGGTACACCAGCGTGTTTGCCTTGAAGCTGGGCGCCAGCAGCAGCTGCACATCGGCCGCCGGCACAGCCCGGAACGCCCGCGGCGCCTGMACCGACAGCTCCTGGAACTTGGCGAATTTCTGCTTCTCCTCTTCCCACAGGTAAACGTGGGTGAAGGAGAAATCGCTGCCCAGCGCCAGGTACTGCCGCTGCCCCACGGTGAAAGGCTGCATCACCATGGAACCCCGCGACGGCAGCGTTTGCACCTCCACAAAACGCTGCCCTTCCCACCGCACCACTTTGGAGTCGCCGATGTAGCGGCTCAGGCACAGGAACTGCTCCCGCTTGGACCTGAAGTGCTTGACCATCTGCACGTCCAGCATCTCGCCCACCTCGCCCTGCGGCACGAACTGCTTCTGCGCCCGGTTCCACTGGTAGATGACGGGCGCCTGCGAGCTGCTGGAGATGATCAGCCGCGGTTTGCCGTCGTTCTCCACGTACTCCACGTCGGTGTCGCGGTGCCAGGCGTGSAGGGCTTGGTGGGAGTAAAACCCGTTCTGGTTGAGGCGGTAGAGGCTGGTGGAGCCCGCCTTGGAGCTGTCGGCGATGACGAAGTACCAGTCGCCCTCGATCTGGAAGGCCTCGATGTCGTTGGGCTTGCGGATCTTCTGGCTGTCGATGTCCTGGATCTTGATGAATTTGTCCACGGCCGTGTCCCAGCGGTAGATGTAGGAGCCGCCGAAGAGCTGGGCCACCACCACGTAGAGCTGCTCCTGCGCCACGATGGGCTTGCAGTGCACCGCCGAGTGGGCTGGCGACAAAAACCGCGTCACATCGGGGCTGTGCCCGTCCCGGCTCACCCCAAACAGGGGTCCAGCCCAAGAAGGGCCCCTCAGCTCGATTTCTCACCGGGGATGCGGTCGAAGTCGCGGAGTTTGCGCTCCACGTAGTCCCACTTGAGGATGGAGCAGCTGCTGGCGCCGGGCTGTGCCAGGGCCACGTACAGATCACTGGCGTAGGTGAAGGGCTCTGCCGACACCGCCTGGAAGGGCAGGACCTGGTGCATCACGAAATCTGGAGCGGGGAGAGGTGGCAATGAGGGTCTGGACAGCCAGCAGTGAGGTGACAGGTGACAGGTGACAATGGCCCTGTACCCGTGGTGATGCACTGGAAGTCCCCGAGCGCCAGGTCCCGAATGCGCTGCCCCTCGAACTGCCCGGGGCTGCTGCAGAACACGGCGGGCACCGTGGTGTTGGTGCTCTCCAGCCACTCCACCAGCCACTTGATCTTGCAGTCACAGGCCAGCGTGTTGCCAC